TCAAGGCGATATCGGGAGTGCAGACTGTTCGACACAAGCAGGAGCTAGAGAGAAACATCACTATCAAGCTCGGATATGCCAACGCAAAGGTAGAGCGCGACGCCCCCCCTCCCCCTGTGTGTCAGGGAGCCCCCCCCCTGTGTGTCAGGGAGCCCCCCTGTGTGTCAGGGAGCCCCCCTGTGTGTCAGGGAGGCCCCTGTGTGTCAGGGACAGGGTTTCTTATACATAAGAAGCACAGTGGCGCACCGCCGTTGTCAAATTTAACATCGCCGTTGTGAAAATGCTACTGTATTTACTGATGAGTATATCCTGTATCTATATACCTATAAGTATATCAATACATCCTGTATTTGAATCCATCATGTGCGTTTTTTTCCCCCAAACCATGGCCATTGCCTCCTTTTTCTCCCCATTTTCCCTCAGAAAAAACCCTGTGAGAGGCCCCCTGTGTTGCGGAGCCCCGCCCTCCAGGGTTTCTTCTGAGGGAAAATTAGACAACGGAGGTAATGGCCAGTTTGTGGGAAAAATGCGCACGATGGATTTAAAGACGTGCCGTAGGCACGCATGCGGATGCTGCAGGCGGACACGCGGGGAGAGAGAGGGAGAGGTGGAAGTCCCCCTCTCGCTGGGAGGGGAGGTTCTGGGGGTCTCCCCCCAGCAAAATTTTAAAAATGTGAATGTTAAAAATTGTTACAGTGAGCATTTCCACAACGGCGATGTTAAATTTGCCAACGGCGGTGCGCCACTGTGCCTCGTATGTGTAAGAAACCCTGCTCTCATGTCGCGGCGTCCCCCGTGTCACGACGCCCCCCTAAGTTGCCTTGCAGAGTGGCACCCCCTACAGCTCGGCGTCATCTCAGAACGCTTGTGAAGCCCGCAGCTATGTGTACGATCGATCGTGTCGTAGCTTTTGCGCGTGTAACGTTTCGCGCTGAGTGTGGCAGGCGGGCATTCATTGGCGGTCCACGTTCACGCGTTTCACGCAAATATTTACGAGAGTGAAATGTTACGAGGAGTAGAGGACGTGCTTCCGTCATCTCCGTCATTGTTGTCTTCGTCATTGTTGTCGTCTTTCCTTCATCG